GGTACGTTCCGGAAGTACCCTGGGGGACATAGACCCTATGAGCGTAACTGACAGTGAAGGTGCGGCTTTTGCATAGCAGAATGTGTCAAAATCTGTGCACAACACTTTACCGGTAAAAACGTTCTGATCGTTTATACTTGAGGAGGGCAGCATGCCTCAGGGATTGGAAATTTACAGCGTGTCTTCTGCAGATGGTGTTCGTTTGCATCGAGGATTTTGTGAGGAGGCTCGACCCGATGACAAGCTACCTGAGATCACACACCTCATGTTCGTTGTACATGGGATCGGCCAGAAAATGGACACAAATCGCATCATCAAGAGTTGTAAAACGTGATTAAATAAATGAATGACTAACACCTCATCAGCAGATCGGTGCATCATGTCACTTAATTAAGGTGGTGATTAAAAACCAGGTGCTTCTTCATAGCTTCCTTTTCTGTATCATTTCTCCCTTAGAAGGTAAACGGAAGCTTCCTGGACTGATAAGCTTGTAAGCTTATCATGCATTTAATCTAGTGAATCTGAGCATTATCACAGTTGGACTTTTTCGATGTATATTTTTTAACTTTACTGCTAAAGTCAGTGTGCCATAAAAATGTGATTCAGTGATGCCATGATCGGCTTGTGTTCTTCAGGTTTCGACAATCGATCAACAAGCAGATGAATGAGAACTTTGGTCACATACTGCGCAACCACCAGAGAGCAGAGTGCCTCCCTGTTGAGTGGAGGTCGTCCCTTAAGCTGGATGATGGTAATTTGTTCATTTAGAATGCTTGTAGAAAAATGCATATAAATTTTCAAATGAATACCCATCATGTTCTTTTGTGTGACCAATTTGTGACATGCACCATGCTCAGGAACAATGGGAACAAAGCAGTGGTGTTTAGGAATGAATGCCTTAATGTAACTCAAGGGTAAATAACAATATAATAATCCAAAATGGCATTATACCTTTATTGACACGGTATTCCTCCTAGAACTAATATTGCAATGAATGTATAATGCTACAGAGTAATATCATTATCGATCTAACAGGGTTAATTGTTACTCAGCCGTGAAGATTGGAAATGTACAGCTTACCTTTCGCCTCCATCCAGGAGGCTTTCTCAAAGCTAACTGATGATTATCAGTTTTGACCAGCAGATGGTGTGGTGGTCAATAGCTTAGTCCACACGTGACTGAGCCTGTATCCCCCCTCGTCACGGTTGATGTTCGGGGTCTTGCAGATCCAGATGGTCTCCTTAATCCATCGCCTGATCTTGATTGGTTCGCGATCGATGATCTTCGAATTATCCCAATCGATGGTGTGATTGTCCTTCGCTACCTGGTCCGTGATCGCGGATTTGGTTATTTCGGTAGCCGACTGCTTTCGTTGGGCCCTTGTGAGCGATTTGGGTGCTACGGTGTCTATGTCCTTTTTATGTTCTTTAAGGCAGGTTTCAAATTTTCGGCCGGTTTCTCCAAGTAACTTTTTTCACACATTGCACACGGTATCTTGTAGATACAGTCTGTAATGTTGTGCATAGCTGTTCTGTCCTTAGGGTGTACCAAAAGCCTTTTTAAGGCTGCTGACCCATTGTCCACCACATCATCTGGTGGTCAAAACTGATAATCATCAGTTAGCTTTGAGAAAGCCTCCTGGATGGAGGCGAAACATAAGCTATACGTTTCCAATCTTCAAGGTTAAGTAACAATTAACCCTGTTAGATCTATTAGTCTACCAACCGAATGAACTTATTTAATGAATATCATTATCCTAAAATATATACTAGCAACCATGCACTATCATAGAAATTAAGTCAGTTTCGAGCCTCACGTTCCTTCTGGTCAGAGTCTAAAACTTGCAGTATAATAGGCTAAATTCTGCCAGTAGACTTGGACTAATCTTGCGTGTACAGTTGTGGTACTTCTTCTGATGTGGTATTGTAGGTGTTGTCGAATCTGTCACTCTGCATAAGGTGCGAGGTCTAAGGGAACTCATGAACAGCACAGTGATGGATGTAATGTACTACGACAGCCCACTATACCGGTCAGAGGTACGCATTCTACTGGGAATGAAATTCTGTCACCTTGTATTTTATGTTGAGAAAATCAAATCTGTTAAAATAAGTTGTCTATTAGGGTCACTCAGGGGGAATTCAAAGTGTCCATTACACGCCTACATTCTTTCTATATAGGTGCTTTCTCTGTATATATGCTACTCGAGGAAACCAAGGTTAAAATGCCATTTTTAAACTGAAAATGCCGTGCACACAGTTAAGATATCTAAGTGAAAATGTTTCACTTTAGTACTTTATCCTAATATACCGTTGGTTACGTGTGCAGATCTCGGCATTTCACTTATTACAATATGTTGTTTCAGTTGGTACATGGCCTGCAGCGGGAGCTAAACAGACTGTACGACATGTTCTGTCTGAGACATCCGTACTTTGAGGCTAGCGGTGGTAAAGTCTCTATTGTGGCTCACTCTCTCGGGGCAGTCATCACCTATGACATCATCACTGGCTGGAACCCAGTGTGCCTGTATGACCAATATGTCAATGAGACACTGGTATGATGCCATTTTCCCAAGGTCTACTTCTGTTGGTTATTTAGAAACGAAGTTTTATAGACAAGCCAGTCAATGCTCGTGGGTTATGTAGAATACCACAATCCCGTATCTTGTGGTTAAAGTAGAATTATGAGTGTGCGGAAAACCCCAAACCTATACGGTACCCTAAAACATCCTGGGCCATCATGAGAACATGGATGCTTAGTTTGGTAGAAGTTGTTGCAAAATTGCAGGAGTTCATAAATAAACAAGCACATAAATAAACTAACTCACCTCAGATTATAATATGACGGTATTAATAGGAGCCAAACCATATGATTTTTGATGCATTTTCCAAATATGAAAATTTTTTGCTGGAAATTGTAGTATAAACTTGACAAAGCAGTCAAATAATGCAATTTCTGTCGTAAGTTATTGTATGCCTGATTTTTAAAGGACGAGTGCATAATAGATCTCGCTGAAGAAAAGAGGGGGCTGTATTATGAACTGGAGCGTGCACGAAAAAGGTAAATTATATGTAATATACACCCATTACTCTTAGATTAAGCTGAACTATATAATCAATATAATTGCATGGAATCGATTATATTGTATATTAGACATATAGTATATATGTATAGATATGTTTTTTGTGATTATATTCAATGGAATTTCATAATGACATAGTTAACATAAAAAAAACATCTATTGAAATATAATATTGGTTCATATGGTATCCATTATTTAGGGTGAAAGAGTTAGAAGCCATACTAGTCAGTGACAGTGGACCCACACTAAAGTTCAAGGTACAAGTACAGGACATACACTACATCTTTTTAAAACAGTAATTATCTAAGCATGTGTGAATGAATGTGCACACATATGCATGCACATGCTTACTTGTGCATTTATGTTTCTGTTTCTGTTGTATAGTACGTTGCAGTATCCAAATTTGGCATTGAGGCAACGGGCTATAGCTAGCCATGGGGTGTGACCTAGCTTGGGTAAAGCCAGGTAGTTTAGCCTTTTTTTTAGCCGAAAGGCACTGAGGGTGGTCACAGCCAGTTTTTTTGCGCCCTCAGTGGTTTTTTTACGTCCCCATTGGCCTTAGTATTACTGGAGATGGGAGCACCATTTTACGTGGTCATCCGAGCCACGGGAGATTCAGTCTCCAATGTTGAGAGCCAGGTTTTTACACCTTGAGAAAATTTACTGACCCGGCCAGGGTTTTAACTCGCAGCCTTCAGTGGACAGTGTAGGAGGCCTAACCACTGGGCCACGGAGGCTCTCATTGCATTTGTGCCCGTCTGCTTGATTGCAATGAGCGCATGGATGGGAACGTATCAGTGCATAGGTGGGCATGTACATTGCTATGTGCATTCGTGCTTGTCTGTCCCCGCATCGTTGGGTTTTACTGTTACAATGGTGTTTCAGCTGGACAATCTTTTCTTACTCGGGTCTCCACTGCCCGTGTTTCTGGCTCTTAGAGGAATGCAGCCAAGGGATGGCAACACACTTAAGGACATTCTACCTTCCTCTATTTGCAAGAGGATATTCAACATTTATCACCCTTTTGACCCAGTGGTAAGGAAGTATGAAGGGTAATGTTAATTATCAAACAATCTGACTGCTGTCAAATCAATTGTTTTGTTGCAATTCTGACATCATTAGTGAAGAAAAAAACTCCCTATGTGAGGTGCACATTAGGCTAACCATTACCTCTATAATGTAACTGTCTGTCTATTGTATGCATTATGACTCACCCTATTCATATACAACAACCCCAATGGGGCCCGGAAGCGATTATATAACACACATATGCCACATTACTAGGTGCACTACATACACATATATATATATATACTATGCTATTACTATACACTATAAATGCTATATCACATATATACTATATCTATACTGTACTACACGTAAGAAGTTCTGTTCTGTTGTACACCAGCAGTGCTTAATAACTGGCAACACCGGAAGTTTTAAGGATACACAAAATTTTCATCGATTTTTCATTTTCATTCTAATTCGATGGCTATCACTAGGTGCCGCCTCTGTACTTGCTTATTTCTCTATATACCGATGCATGTAAACTTTCGGAGCATTTTTATTGCCTGCGTACGTGTGTAGCGAGCCATGGCCATTTAAACACACATTTACTGATGACATCAGAGACATGATCCCACCAGCCTCTGTTCACGGTATTCATTATGCCATTATCTATCAGCCTCAACCTTTCTTATAGCCGTCAACTGCCATTGATGGTTGAAATTTCCGCGCGGTCAAAAATAGCATTTATACCTTGTTACGCAGCCCGGGTTTGTTGACACGTAAATATAATTAGGTGCTAGAAATTTCGTGAAATTTTTCGGCTCGAGCATAGATCTACATCTCATCTGTGAATAAAACGTGATTGATTTAATTAATTGGTCAATAAATGGTCTTTATCAGAACAATACCCATGCAAAAGCTTGAGTGTATCCTTAAGTATGTATTTTGCTGTGTATTAACTGGTGAATGTCACACCATAATTGGTTTATGTAATGTGCATAGAAAGTATGTATTATATTTGATCTCATATGATTTCTTAGCATAATTTGGTTGCACTTGCCTGCTCCCATATAAGCAGTAAGCTAGTTCTTCCAGCTACAAACTATTTTTAGGCATACAGAATGGAACCATTGCTATTGAAACACTATGAGTCTATACACCCAGTGACCATACACAAAGCAGATGTTACAAGTAGGACACCATATGAAGATCTGAAGACCGAGCTCATTCAATCTACTAAAATCAGCGAGCGTGATAAGGTTTATGCTACAACATCGCCATCTGGTGAAAGCACCTCGGGAGGTAATGCTCCTGTTGGACTGTCGAGGAAGTACCAGCAGGCTTCATATGGTAAGTGCACCGTACATGTTTCATCAATGTTGAGTGCATTGTACATATTGCATTGTATGGTGAGTGCATTGTACGTGTTTCTTCATATAGTCCAGTAGTCAGTGACTCAGTGCAGGTACACTTGGCATAAGATTATGCACATGGAATGCGATCAATCAGCATATGATCATTAAAATTCTCTATTTTAAATTTTAAATTTCTTTAGGTTAAAAATTCTCAAATATTTGAGCAGATAGGCCTATTGTGTGTGAATGCAGTTTGCTCAAATTTGTTGCAAAGAATGGATGCAGTCACTTTCTGTACAGTATGCACCTACCTTGCACATTCCATCCTTGTGATTCACTATCGAAAAAGCAATGGGTTTTGCTACATTAACAGCATCAACGTTTGCGGACCTGGTGTGGTCCAAGTGGGGTGGCAGCCACAAAGCCACCAAGTTCAACGAGGAACTGAAAGCTCTCCATAAGATGGTAAGCTCGGATGATGACACTAGAAGCAGCACCTCTGCGAAATACCACAACATCGATCCAACAGATCTGGAGTACAGAATCGACTATGTCCTTCGCGAAGGGAGCTTGGAAAGCCAATACATATCAGCCATCACGTCACACGCGTCTTATTGGGCTTCACCCGACGTGTCGCTGTTTATATTGACGCATTTGTTTCCAGAAGACACACAGACAGAACCGAAATACATGTCAAAAGACAGCAATGGTGCAGCAGCACACGCATGACTGTAGCACGCGTAGTAATGCCTGTGGGGGTTCAGCTGAGCTCAAGTCAATTAGCAGTCACAGGAACAGTGATTTGCTTATTCCTGTCATATATATATATACTTCATATTAAACTCATATCCAACAGTCCTACAATAAGGAAATTGTAGCACTGCATGCAGCACAATCAGCAGTATCACGTTTTGATTAGGATTGTATTGTGATGTATTAACTCAACATAGGTATGGTTATGATTGACAATATCAGTTTTATGTCAGAACCAAATTCCTGTCCATGTAGAAGAGCTGTATATATATATATATATATGAAATAATAATCAGTTTATGATCAGTTACAATTTCAACCAAACAACTATTAAGAGCCTAGGAATGGTAACACCAGATTAGCTAGCATTTTTAGAACACTAAGAAGTATTCTATATTATTTCTATACTGTTGTAAATTACGTAATGTACGCTGTTGACCATTGCTATTCATACAGCAATTAGCATATTGCAAAAAGCATTTATTTTTACCATTATGAGCCATCTTATTTTTACCATTAGCATTTATTTTTACCATTATGAGCCATCTTTTAGCCAACAGCAGTTTTAATTAAATTAATTGCACGTGTAACATGACGGTTAGTTGAGATCAAGTGTCGTGTCTTTGTAAATTAGATGAAGCCATCTCACCAAAATTTAGCGTGCACGATAGTTTCAAGCATGAAAATATACTTTATAGTGATTATTTGCAGACATTTTGTCAAAATTACCAGCAGAATCGGCCAGTATTTGCTATCTCGAATGGGGTCTTCCTCTTCTTCTCGGGCCACTACACTACACTCGGCCCAGCCACTGCAGCACACAGGACTTGGCACGGTGGTTGAAAGCCTCAAGGTCTTTAGGGCTACATGGCTCTGGAATAGGGGGCATTTCAGGAGATGTCCCATAGTCTGGTCCTTCCCGCAGTCGCATTCGGTTGGGCCATCTTCAGTGTATCCCCATTTCTGCATGAGTGCCCTAGATCAACCAAACCCTGTCCTGAGGCGATTTAGGCATAACCACGTCGGACATACCTCGTTGGCTCCGGGTGGGAGGGATTCCTGGGGTCTGAGTGAAAGCTTATGTTGGCTTGCCTGAAGATGCTTTGACCATTGGGCAATCCTGTAGTTTTGGAGGTTGCCATCCAGGGGTTGAACTGCGTGGATGAAACTGTGCCTGGACTTTAGTCTCTTCTTTACTGTTTCATGCTGGAAGAGGGGGTGGCGAGGGTCATTTTCTTGGTTAAGTTTCTCTACTTGGGATGAAGCCATTCGTCTAACGTGTGGAGGAGCAATGCCACAGAGCAGGCAGAGGTCATCTACGTTGGTTGGTCTCAAGCATCCAGAAATGGCTCTGCAGGCAATGTTCAGAACTGGGTCAATTTTTACAGCATGGGGCGACCTACTCCAGACAGGGCACGCATACTCAGCCGCAGAGTAGCACAGGGCGATAGCAGTGGTTCTGATTGTCCCGGCGTCTGTTCCCCATTTAGTATTTGCCAACTTCTTTAGAATACTGTTTCTGGCACCCACTTTGGCCTTTGTCTTGATGCACTAGTAAATGGACTAAACACAGGGTACACGTGTTTATAAACAACTAAATGGTAAAAAAACGTGACAGACTATAATGGACCAAATTAGGAACGAAATTAGAGTTCATGTAAAATACAGGGACAACCACATACTTAACACAGCCAAACTCAGACTGCAAATGGTGCACATGCTTCATAGTTTGGGGATTTCATTGCAATTTTAGTGAGTATGGCAGCCGTAAAATACTAACAGCAGCTTTTAAAATTGTTGAGCATATGTTATTAACTCCTGATGAATGTCTTATATGTGGGTGCACCTAGGAATATGTCGTTCAGCTTTTGTATTTAGTATGTCAGACTTCTGTCTGGTTTCACCAGCAACAACACACATCTGTTCACAAATTTTCTTGCCCGATACAAAATGAGATATCAAGTGTATTTAACTGTGAATAATAAATACATTATAAATAACAGGGTTAATTTTTACTCAACCGTGAAAGTTTGAAACGTACCGCTGACGTTTCGCCTCCTGCCAGGAGGCTTTCTCAAAGCAAACTGATGATAATCAGTTTTGACCACCAGATGGTGTGGTGGTCAATAGCTTAGTCCACACGTGACTAAGCCTGTATCCCCCCTCGTCCCGGTTGATGTTTGGGGTCTTGCGGATCCAGATAACCTCCTTAATCCAACGCCTGATTTTGATTGGCTCGCGATCGATGATCTTCGAATTCTCCCAATCGATGGTGTGATTGTCTTTCGCTATGTGGTCAGTGATCGCGGATTTGGTGATTTTGGTAGCCGACTGTTTTCGTTGGGCCCTTGTGAAGGATTTGGGTGCTACGGTGTCTACGTCCTTTTTGTGTTCTTTTAGGCGGGTTTCAAATTTTCGGCCGGTTTCTCCACATTCCTTCAATTCCACACTCTTTTTCCACACATTGCACACGGTATCTTGTAGACAGTCTGTAATGTTGTGCATATCTGTTCTGTCCTTAGGGTGTATCAAAAGTCGTTTCAGGGTCTCAAACGGTCTAACTGTTGAAGCCACACCTGCATTTTTTAGGTGACGCTGAACTACGTCCGTGACGCCTCAGACATAGGGTAGGACAATCATCGCCTTCGGTTTCTCCGTGGAGGTTTTCTTTTGGGATGTTGTTTTTTCACGTAACGTCAGCGGTACGTTTCAAACTTTCACGGTTGAGTAAAAATTAACGCTGTCAGTGTTATTTATATTAGTCTACCAACCGAATGAACTTATTTAATGAATAAATACATTGTTACAACCTGAAAATATATACATTGTGTATGGTTTATGCTTGCTAGCTCACAGTTTTAAACGCTTTGTCACAGCCGCTCACACATATACCTGTAAATGACAGACTGGCAATTACTAGTTTACACAGATTAATAGCTGGCTGCATCGCTCCATGCTGGTAGACAATGTGTTCCAGATGTCATATGCCTGCACCTAGGTGTAAGCTTTGCATTGGATTTTTTGCATTGGATGCTTTGGCAACAACTGAGGTTAAACTGCTAGAGCGGCTGCATCTGTCATCTTTCAGCTGCGTCAAACGCTCCTGCTGTTGGTATAGTGTAGGCTGCCGTGCTCGAATGTTTGTGGTAGAATCCACAAACTATAAACGTTATGAACACGTGCACTCAAGGCTAAACAATTTTTTTAATTGTTCAGCCAGACTATTTGCGTCCGCGACCAGCCTGTGTTTAGTACTTGGTTGTACGTGTGTACGTGGCAGCCCGTGTGTTTTACAATGGACTGTAATTGGGTGCTATTCTGGAAAGTTATAGTCTGTGGCTATCTCGCATTTTGCTTCATTTAGGTATTTATTCTATTTCATAGTGTACTTATTCTCATACCACTTGGTAAAAGATTAAGGAATCTAAATAAAACTAGTAATCTGTGTTACTGGCCGATGGTCGTATGTGGGCCATATTTCTATGCAGGCATGTCGGTGCACAATCGATGTAAGCATGCACAAGTAAAGCTGTGGTTCATAGATTTGCCACATCTTTCCCACTTTCATTTAAACTAGAAAATGTAGGCGTTAATGAATACGTTCACGTGTACTTTTGATGACAACGTATAAAAGCTTATTTATTTACAAAATAAATTGCACAATTTTTCACGAACGAAAAGAAGTGTAATTTGCTTTAAGTAATGTGTTTAATGAGCGTTAACTCGTTTTCATGCTGTCATCTTGTCGTTGTTTCTTGCTTGATTGTTGCATATTATCTGCCAAACTTCTCTTTGCCTGAGATGTATTCCTACCATTACCTGCATTACATATAACAACACAGGTGTGTGAATTCAAACAACTAATTCTGAACTCTTAGTTCACATCCCCATGCCTATTACTATGTAAACTAATCAACTCTCCTAACGATCATCCTCACCCCCATTCTCACTACCACTGCTCCTCTTGCCCACTCTTTGGCCTGCCCCTCATCTGCTGTACATTTTTTTGCCAATCCCTCCCACTCATTCTGCTACCTGCCCTTTTTGCTTACCTGATATCGGTGGATTTATGCTTGTATCCACTGGTGCTGCTGGCTTTGGCTCCCAAAGAGCATGCTTAACAAACCGCTTTGCCGCATCCTTGTCCAGTCTAGCGGCCTTTTCCTTATCCACTATCTGCTTCACTTTGTGCATGTACCCACGCAGGCGTTCCTGTAAAGAGTACATTGACAGAATTTACCCAGTAATAAGTACTCGACATAACTGCTATTATAAATAGACATACACCAAACACTGTATCTGTAATAATGTGTCTGAATGCATGTATTTATATGACGATGGTGTCTTATGCGAGTTTTACTGTATTATAAAGAGAGTAAAATTTGTGCTTACTAATTCTTGTTTAACGGGATGCTCCTTTGTGTTTTCTCCACTAGCATTTAAAAACACTGGAAAAAAAAATCAAATAGGCAAACGCACGTTTGAGGACATATCAAACACCCACGTTAGAAGAATCTAATATTATAATATACTCTAATAAATATATACTTACTCCAAAACATTGAGTTCACTGTGTATGCCACCATAAGATCCATCTTGGCCTTCTCTATGGGAAGAAGCTATAAATAATTGAATTAAAATACACACATTATAAACCAACAAACTATTTTAAAGCACTGTGATCCCATGTACAGATCACAAATTCTGGCTACAGTCTAATTTAAAATACATATATGCAGAATAAAACTCCATTCTATCTGTTAGATCATTGTTACATCATTTGGGTAGGGTATCCACTCCCTAACTCTCCTAACAGCTTTGTAAACAGGAATAACAAAAAATCCCATCTCTAACAATAATTTGTAACACTAAAGGGGTGGACACACTAAGCGATTTTTCATGCGGTCGAGCCGCCTGGCTGAAATCGCCTAGTGTGTCCAGTGAGTCGCGGTCGATTTTCGAGTCGGCCGGCTGAGTCGCCCGAATCAAACATGTTTGATAAAATCGGGCGATTATTTGAGTCGCGCGACTATATACAATGTGCGCCCGAACAATGCAATACTATACAATGCTCTACTACGCGCGCCCGAATGTACAATTCATCAGCCAATCAAACCATTTTCAATCGTGACTATCATCATCATTCAGCCGGGCGGCTCAATCGCATGAAAAATCGGCTAGTGTGTCCACAGCTTAACCCCACTCTAGCTAGCACTAATATATCACTGTTACCACCACGTATTATCGTATAGAATGCTTGTTACAAAATTTACATTTCTCCTTACCCTAGTCTCTATAACTATTTCACATTCTGAAGTGACAAGGTACCTTGTGGCTACATTTCAACTGGCAATGGTATCAGCTCAAAAGTCAAGCTGGTAATGCAGATGGCGCTCTCAAATTATAATCATTCAAATACATATGATTTGTTGCTGAGTGAGGCTTGCCACGTAGTTTCATAAATCTCCCCTTCGGAAAATTGTAAAAATCCAGACATAAAATAATGTCATCTGGTGTTTTCTGGGTGTTCTCTACCCCCCACCCCCACCCACACACACGTCAGCTTCTGGAACCTGTAATGCTTGGACAGACACTAGTCTAGCTCTAGAACTATAGGCAGGGAGCGGCATAGCCCTGCGGCGGAGCGGAAGGCTATAGTTTCAGAGTTAACACTAGTCAAGACAGTGCAATTCATAATTATGTTACCTATAAATTTTTTGCAGGTTATAACTTATAATATAAAATATTGTAAGAAACCATGCATGCCCTGGCATGAGTCCCAAAGTCACATCAATTCTTCAGACTAAAGACTACAGTATACACTACGGGGTTGCGGTTAGGATCACAGATCAGGCTTAGGTAGGACATGTATTAGGGTTGTAGTTAGGCCTATACGTTTGTTAGCTCTGCTATATATAGCCTAGGCTTGTTGTCACAGGGGCCTCTGGCTCTGGTTGAGGCAACTACTTACAACTTGGTCTTGGGCTATAGTACTCAGCGTTCGAAATTTGTTTCGACTTTCCCCTCATATTACGCTGAAATACTACGGTTATTGCAACGGCTGTTTAGACAGACTTGTAAACGGGAGCGCATTCTAATACGCTCCGTTCCTGAGCGTAGATGGGGTATCCAAAACATCTAGAGCCGAGGGCATGAACTCCCTCAATGCATGATTCGCCACACAAACAAAACCTCGTGACACTGACAGTCTAAGAAATCGATTGCGGCATGACCCCAGTGTTTTTATGACCGCATAACAATAAGTTCATATGTCGTAGGGGTTATCGTGGGGAGTGAGGCCATGACCAGTGATACCTGACACGCACGTAATCAAAGTTAACTGAATTCGTCACTTTTCTTTACGTAGAAAGTGGACTATTTTTATTTATATCTAGAAGCAATGTAAACTGTATAAACTTAAAGATTCTAGGCACTTGTAACTTTGCGGATGTGCGGCAGCATTGATCTATGCATGGGGGTACCGTGGACTGCGGATTCTGTCCCATATAACCTTTTTTATATTTTGGCGAGGGTTATATTGGGACAGAACAGGGTTCATTGAAATTTCGTGAGATCGCATGCAAAATGCATGCGCTGCGAATGCGGCCCGTACGCCGCTATTGGCGCGAAAAAAACCTACCGTTCCCTTCTACATGACTTTACCTTGCTACAGATGTGTATACATTCACTTCAATCGTTATTCACTTCTTAAAAGATTGTTTTTCAGAAACCAGCTTCATTCCACTTTCGTAAATAACATTCGCCATTTACAAACAATCAGACCAATCAGAGCGAGTCTATCAGCCCTCCTGCAGCGCCACAGATACAAGCGAGAACCAGGCTATTGTAACACTCGCTCTGATTGGTCTGATTGTTTGAAAATGGTGAATGTTATTTACGAAAGTGGCATGAAGCGGGTTTCTGAAAAACAATCTTTTAAGAAGTTAATAATGATTGAGGTGAATGTATACACATATCTGTAGCAAGGTAAAGTCATGTAGAAGGGAACGGTAGGGTTTTTTTCGCGCCAATAGCGGCGTACGGGCCGCATTCGCAGCGCATGCATTTTGCATGCGATCTCACAAAATTTCAATGAACCCCGTTGTCCCAATATAACCCTCACCAAAATATAAAAAAGGTTATATGGGACAGAATTATTCGATCTAGGGGGGAGGAGCCGTGGACTGGGGAGGAGAAAACCGAAAGTAAAACCTTTCCCTTGTGGGGCTCCCCCGACATTCCTAGAGCTGGAGATATATTATTTGACCAACTCTAAGTTACATGTATGCTGTTAATGCCAATGGTTATTTTTGTATACTATTTTGTTACTCACTGCTACAGTGCTAGTAAATAAGCGGACCACCAACTTTTGTGCAGGACCACCAACTTTCTGAAGTTGGTGGTCCTGCTGTCCACTAGATTTTCAGCCAAAATTCGAACCCTGATAGTACTAGAGAGCTAAATTTTGTTAGCATTTAGTTATGCCTGTTACGGAGTTCGTACTTCATCCTTGTTACCTTTTCATGCAAATCGTTGTGTGGTTTTGAAAGCATGGGTTTCATAATCGTCTCTATGTTGATGATAGACTCGTGAAAGTTTTTTACGCGATCTTGAATTTCATGTGGAATTTTTAAATCCATTTTCTTATCACTTTCAACTAGAGAGGTAGACATTTTGGTTTGATTGTTCGTCCAGGGTCTATCGAAAGGTTAAATATCACAGAAATTGAAGGAAGAAGTCAAAACCTTAGAGAAACGCACAGTTATTGGACAGTAATTCTAGTTCAACACAAGAAATATGCACACTGTGCACAAAACCAAACAGAAACATGACCACGCACAGCAGTGCCATCTATTGGATAATAAGTGAATAAAAACAATAAATGTGTTTTTATCACTGCGCTATATATACACCACAGTGGTTTTATTCAAGTATATTATTTATTATATGTGCAGATATTATATATGTGAGATAAATATAATACTAGCAGTGTATAATATCTATATCTATATTATACACTCCTGATAATATAGCAGCCCACCATCCTGCTGTTTCAGATGTTACTGTGACTACAACAACCATAGAAATATATATAGA